AACCCATTGGAAATGATATGATATCTCTCAGTCTTTTGACATTGGCAATAAGTAAACCTATCGAGTAGTAATACCATTTATACTTGTGTTGATTTCTTTCGAGAACAAATGATAATCCATGGACTATCACTTTTGTAATCTCTTGTGATAATCGAAGACTTAGTTCGTTTTGACTGATATTAATGGCCGACGTCATACGGCATGCAGAGCCTACGGTTCATGGTACTTATCTGAAAGGATTGGAAATAATTTCAATATATCAACAAAGTTGAAATGGTAAATTGGCCACCGTTACGACTATAAAAGCTGACGTTTCGAGCGTTAGCCCTTCGTCGGAGCGAATGAAAGGATTGGATAGTGTTCGAATGAAAGCGTTCGAATGAAAGGATTGGAGCTTGTTTTAGTTTACCAATATCGACGTCATTCTTAAGCTAGTTATCTCTTGTAAGACCCTAATAGTCTGTGAAATCTATGGCTCAAATTAAAATGCTCAACATACGCGGACATTTTACTTTTGGGGGAGGAGAAATTACGAGAGATGCTGAATCTTAACGGCTCTTCATAGTTGTATATCAATTTACTAGAGGTCCTTTCCATTTTCTGTGCAGGTATTTAAGAAGCACTATACCCTATAAAAGTGCTTTGCAATGAAAACCTACCATGACAACCAAAGTCCCTTCCTGTCCAAGTTCCATTGCGTTGACATCTTCTTACTTTGAAGCCAGACCCTGCATAGCCATAATTACACAAGAAGTGACACTCTGTGCCATAATACATGATATTCCAACCACATCCAAGCTTTACTCCATTGAACGGTGTAGGCAACACTGGGCACGTGATCAGTACAACTAAGGAGAAACGAAACCGTGATGATTTTAATTTCTTTTCCACCAATTAGCGATCAGCAGAAACGAACAGAGTTATAGACTTTTACAGACTTAGAAGAAGCGTGTCTACGCACCCTTAAGCCCCAACAAATGATTCAAAATTCCTCGCTTACCGTGATTTTCAGTTTAACGCTGCAAACCAAAATCTTTATTTAACACCAGCTTAAAGAACTCACAGCTTCTGGCTATTGTTTTCGTTTTAAAAGTCAGCATGAGCTATGCTTTGTCGGCTGAAGGCTGCACCTTTACCATACATGCAGTCCCTCTGCCTCATATCTGTCGTTAAAAGCTTTTAAATTGTATTACAAACCTGGTGGCTGCAGATAGCTGTTAAATGCGACTGTTCCCATATTGTACTTAAAGTTGATGGAAAAATTACTTTGGACTGTTCCATTGGAGGCATCCACTTTGAAACCATTTCCACCGAAGTCAGTAACGAATAAGTAAGACGAGCTGAAGGTGACCCCATAAAAATTGTATTTACGCCTCCGTGCATTAAATTAGTTATTATTGTTGAACTATTGATTTTATTTTGATTTTATACTTTACTTTGTAACTTATTTTAGTAGATATTCATTGGTGATCTGTTCTTTATGGGGTCCTGGACTCCTTTACAGATTATCCGTATGGCTATTTATATTAGTTTTGTTGTTATGTATTACTATTAATGCCATTAAATTGTAATAAATAAATAAATAAATAAATAAATAAAAGGCAAAGAACCTTCTGTTGTTTCCATAATAATCAGAGGATTCTATGGCGCCAGTAATGTGGTTCATCCAAAAAGCGAATTTGTTTCCTCTATCAAGAGTGATACCAAATGGCCATGAAAGATTGGACGTCACCATAACCACTTGCTGCCCTCCGTACATAGTTGATTTAAGGACTTTTGGAAATTTGTCCGCTAACGTCTGAGTCCAAAACATTGAGCTGTGGCGAGAATGATCAGTTAACGTTTTTTTTAGTGGTTGCTCTAAAGAATCCCTTTCAAAGTTATGGATATATCAATAGAAATGCAATATTCGGAGAAAAAATCATGTTTTAGCTTTATTCAATCGTAACCTAATGAGGGCGACAATTCGAAATGAACGACGTTTCTTTTAGCGAATGAATAACATATCAAATCTGAGCGCACAAATAAACCTTCTGCACAATTTCAATTGTGAAGGGTAAGTCTTCAAAACAGTCAGGGGATTTTTCGAAATTCTTACTGGTTTCTTTCCGATTTAACTGTCAAGTTTGCTGATCAAAATTTAACCGATGCGTATTATGTCAGAGGTCATTGCGGGAGATCCATTTTGAAAAACGAAATTCCCACACATGCTTTTTTTTAGGTTGATATTTCAATTGGAATTTTCGGACCAAATTTCCGCCATTCCGCGTCAAATTTCTTTCCTTCTTTTGATAACAGCCAGGCTTCCTTTTTTTCTTTCACCTGTGGACTCTTCTTTCTTTTATCTTTCTCCAATCACATTCTTGTTTTAAACGCAAACAGATAGCAAATTTATCCCGAAATCAGGAGATGTTAACGCGGTTGAATGGAAATTTAAGGACCAACACATGTTACAACTAGCTATTCACACTTTGGTGGGCTAAGGAATTCAGTTCCAAAATACGTTTCTGTAAATATCACGGGTGCGTTTCAATATTTCTCCAAAATTTAAAATCTCTTGGGTCTTCCCTTGCAATTCAATTAGTTCCATCTCGGTGTTTGGCTTCCCAATGAGTCTATCCTTCCAAAGCGTTCCCAGTTTTTGTGGCAAGAAGTGACCAAGGTTTGCCACCCCCCCTTTCCAGATGAGATGTTCGAATGTCTTTCGCAAGGGTTACTCGTCCCTACCCACCCCCAACAATGCATCGACTTTGCCAGAAAATTTGTCGATGCTCTCTTAGAGGGTGGAAAAGAGATTCCTCCGATCGCATATTGCCAACCTGTTACCCCTAAATCTTTGCACCTGACAACGTTTACCCCCTCCCAACCTATTTTATACTTGGGGTGGCAATCAATTTTATAAATTTTCCACAGATCAATATCTTACCCCTCGTGTGGGTCGAGAACAATTCCCGCCGGGCCTAGTATTTGTAAGCCTGGGGAAAAGACAGTACGTCTATTATTTCCCTCGAAGTCTGACACTGATATCGTATTTTTTCTATGATCAGTCCAATACAAAAGCAATGACCTCCACTCCACTGCCATTCCAAAACAGTACGTATTGTTATGGAGAACTGTTATGTTTGTGCCGTCCATATTCGAGCGCTTTATGTTACGTTCCCGCAGATCACTCCAAAATATGTAGCCCAGGTCATAATGAACGTCTACAGCTGCAGGAAAAGTTAAATTGGAAATGACTGCAAAACTCGACTTGTTGTTGTAATCAAACGCCAATATGCGCTGACCAGCTGCAGCCAAAAGACATGGGGAGTGGCAGGGATTTCTCAAAGCTGTTGGGAAAACAAAGCACAGCAAATTTCTGTAAAACAACTCCTGGTTAATACGTTTAAGCGTCATTATATGCAACTCGGGGGATCATTCGATGACAATCGATATCATTTATTTATAATCATTTAGAATTGGCAATCGGTGAGGGTTAAAACTTTGTTTTGTCCACATTGACTTCTCTCAATTATATAACGATTCATGACTTTATTTACACTTATAGATATCTATTACTAATAGAACTGGGACCCGTTTATTGCTAACTTAGGGGCCTAGTAAGGCTCTTCTGTTTTCATTCAAGATGGGGGTTTAAAACGTTTCGAAAACTATACAAAATGGACTGATTAGGGTGTCATAATCTGCTTCTCTCTTAAAGGACGAAATTAGTATAGCGCAGAAATTTTCTATTTATGTAATTTCAGTTTATTTAGATGTTGGGAATGTGAATAGAAATGGAATAAACTTATGACATAACTTACACACAATCTGCGCTCACTCTGATTGATCAAAAATCTATTGTATATATGCTGATTATAACGATAGAAAACAAAAAAACTTCCCGTCCAATGAAATGGCGCCACACGGGGAGAATTTCCAGATTTTTACCGTTTAGAGCGTTTGGCTTGAAGAAGACGAAGAGAACACTTCGAACGCTAAAGACGTCGAAAAAGATTCTATTTTTCTAACATTTTCAAATTTTGCATATAAAATTCAGTTTAACTAACTGGTTGCTCAATTCTAAGCTTTTGTTTTTCGCTGCGCGGTGAAAGTGAAAGAACTTCAGAACTTTTCAACTAGCGTTCTCCAAGCTGCTTACCAAGAAGGACAAGTTGGCATTCGTTTGCTTAAAGGAAACAGTAGCGACATACTGGCTGAATTTTCATTAAGATATTTATTGGAAATTTATTTATATGAAGACAAACGCCACTTGCAAAGTGAACATGCATCTAAGATTTATGGCAATTCCACTTGCTGTCCGCGATTTTACTTTTCATTTCATAGTTTCTGCCAAGTTTAGACGTTTTAAGCACTCTGTATATTTTAATGAGGACTCCATGAAAGCTTTCACTTAAGCTGGGGCAATAGATACGTGTTTGCTTGAAGGAAAATAGTGTATCACTAATAAACATATTAGCTGGATGACGTTAAAATCAGTGTCAGCTCGATGTTGTTGTCATTTGATTTTGCCGCTATACGGTGTGGTGCAGTCTAATTATAAAACAATTATTGGATGAGGTTTTTGTGATATCCGGAATAATCAAGGTAGAGGTAAGTGCCAATGAGAAGACAGATGGTGACTACAATGTATAATAATGTTATTAAAGAATCTGAAGTTAAGTCGTCACACTGGAAATGAGTTTCATCAGTTAACATCTACAACCGCCCTTTATTTCGCTGCAAAACATCCAGAAATTATTAAAACTGCTTTCTAAGCTTGCAAACTTTAAAACCTTTCCATGCAGATTATCAGATCGTAGTCGCGGTGGAAGGCCAATGCAATTTTTGCTTAGTTTCTCCGTGCCATTCCTTCAGTCATACATTAAAAAAATTAGTTACAGTCGTCGCTCTTTTTGATGGATTTCATAAGAATCAGAAACTTGATCGCAAATTAAGATTAAATTTATTATTCTCTCTGTCGACAAACTTCTCTCCAAAAGTTTGTAACCACTCAGCTGTGCCTTGCGGTTTACAAACCTTGCTGGTTTTCTCTCGTTATCCCAAATGGTTTGTTAGCCGGGAACCGATAGAAAGTGTGTTTAATTGCATAAATGTATATCGCAAGTAATTGGGCAGAAACTATGAGAAGTACTTGATTACCTATCACTTTCTTTGCGACCTAATTTTGCACCTAAATTAATTTTTATCATTCTTATATTATGTATCCTTCAAGGTTCTCAAAAGCCCATTTCCAAATTAATTACCCTTGGCCTCTTTTTCAAAGCGAGGCTTGGTGCTCAACCATTCTTGTGAAAATGAGTATCATTTGCATTTGAATGAAAACTTATTATCATATGAAAGGATGAGCACCAAGACTCGTTTTGAAAATGAGGCCAAGGGTAATTAATTCGGAAATGGGCTTTTTAGGTTAATCCGGTATAGAATTCACGATCCGAAAATATTTTATTATTTTTCGCTCAAGATAAATGCATATGACTACATGTAAAAACAAATCGTAGCTTTCACCCGTCCGCACTGAAATTATATTCAGCAGGTCACGTGTTCGAAGAGCACATAGCTCGTTAAGAAGCGGAACCTTAGATACACCTTGTCTTCTCCAATCTTTTGCTTATCTCATTGTTATGTAACAGTCTTTAGAAGGTCTTTTCGCCGTAGCATGGCGTTGTGTCCTTGAACAAGACGCTTCACTCATTTTGCTTCGTCTTCTCTGATAAGATAAGACATAGAGCCGTAGGTCCCGTCTCCTACAGGGTTAGGGGTAGTAGACGTTAATTTTCCACGCACGAGATAACTGTGTGGTGGATGTCCTCCCCTGGGGTGGGATTAATTCAGCATTAGTTGCTGCAAGTATTTGTTCTGAAAATCATGATGACTTGATGTGATTCGTTAGTAAAGTGTGACGCGTGACGATGGACAAGTATTGACAGTCCAGTAACTATCATGTTAAGAAGTCTAAGGTAGTGTCCATATTGTAGGGTGGTTTGAAAAGTAATTACATAGTAAAAACTCTACCAATTTGAGTGTGAGAAAAATCTTAGAAGGATTTCCGTATAACCCTTTACCAATCAAAAACAAAGCCGTAGTCCCAAAGGAAATCTGTTGTTTTGCCTCTTCTTTCCTTTATCCAAGAATAGAATGCATAATGAAGTATGGGGTTATACGGAAATCTTGCCAAAATCTTAAATTTTCGTCCAACGATATCGATGGTTGCAATTTTTTCCCTTTGCAGACTCTGATACTCAACCTCGATGAAGGAAGGCACTCAGAGGCGCAAACATGTTGTGTACACAGTCTCTTTTGTCGATTGATGGTCATTATCCGGTTGTTTGTTAATTGATACGAAGAAATGGAGTTTAGACTTCACATAAACATGAATTTTTAAATAGAGATCAGTTAATTTATTATGCAACAAAGCAATGTTACTCGCCAAGGCACAAAATCTTCTGGTATTTTTCTTTTAATTAGTTCGGGGTTGACACAACAAAAAAATTACCGAATTTAGTATATAAAATCACAATCGTATGAGCATAACCACAAGGGGTTTATGCCTAGCTCTGATAAGTATAACCTTCTACAACCAAACAAGTTACTCAAGGTCAAACCTTTCATAAACCTCGCACAAACTTCGTCGGAAATTGACATTTGCTTACCCCTTAAGGGTTATTAATCATTGGCTCTGCGTTTTACTTTTTCTTTCTTTTCTTTTTCTTTATGTTTTGTTTTGTTTTGCGTTACTTTTTCAATTAGTTCAACTTTTGTTTACCTTTCCATTTTATTGTTTTGTTTCTGTTCTGTTTTTATGGCGGTTTTGTTACTCCACGAGACAGTTTTTCAAGGTCAAAGCCTGTCTGAGAATCTGTTTACTTCACATTAATCTGCTTGATGTCACGCAAATCTAAAAATGGTGAGATGTTGCTTTTACATTATCAATTTCTATCTCAGGCTCAGCCCTCTTTTTCAATGGCAACATTTCATTCTGCAATGCATTGTCGATTTTTCTCTCTCTCTTTGACATCTCACTTTGTTTTCATACCGCAAAGTTTGCAAAGTAAAGACCTTCTGGAATGCAGCGAGGAAATACCACGGTTGTCATCAAATTGGTGGCATGCATTCAGCCTTCCAAATAAGACCGAGTTCTTTACAAAAGGACTACGTTGGAATCTGTAATTGCTTAGATTTTGTGTTCTGATTACCGGAATCTTTTTGTCTAAAGAACAGAGCCTAAATGAGTGAACTCGATCAGGGTCCGAGGCATAAGAACAGTGAAGAACAGATTCCGAAAGCTGCCATTGCATCTACGTGTTTTTATATTTGTCATCATTGTATTAATTTCTAATAATCCGTGTACGGATACGGTTTCCTTACCCGCGCGAAGAAAGCGTCTTTTCTTGGGAAACCAAAAAGAAGAAAGATTACAATAAAGTCGACAGATACATAGGGTCTTAACTTGCATGATGGATGCTACTTCTTAGTAACGAAGAGATCATAACGAATGAGTAAAAGATTCGTACATACGTTCGAGGATGACGGCATATATCAGAAGGCCTTATTATTACACCCTTGACGTAAATCCTATGTGAACTCAGTGACTGGTAATCTTTTAAAAGAACTTCTGATTGATTTTTTCTAGTCCTATGTTAAGATAAAGTAGGAGCCAATGCGGGCTTGTCTGCATGAATTTCCAACTTCTAAGTGTGCGTGCTATGGCTTATGTTGAACAATTTTGGTTCCTTTGGTTCGTTTGGTTCGTTTTGAACAGGAAATGATTACTTGTCTTAACGTGGCTTAACGTGTCTCAAAGAAAATTTGAATTTTGCTTCGCTGGCCATTTCATTCAGAGCTGTGAAAACATGTGTAATAGTCACATCATCATATCTTGACGCTGCAACTAGATATTGAACAGAGGGCAATGATGCTTACCCGAAGAAGTGGATACCTCACGAAAACAGAAAAAACTTGAAATGAGGATTGTGCTCAAAAGCACAAAACCCTTCTTGAGTCCTTTCATGTCTACATTTGATATATTGTGCGCCAAGCAGGATATGTCGGATGTAGTATCACGTAAGACAGGGGACTGGGAAGAGAGGTATGCTGGTCGATGATGCTCCGCTGGGAACGTGTAAATAGATAGGATTTGACAAAGCCTCGGCGAAACCTCACTAAATTAGTGTTCGATTCTTTACTAATTTCATAGAATAGATCTATGTTCAAAAGCGCTTTTATAGCCTCATATGCTCCTTTTATCCAAACCCTAACCCGGAACGTTGGCGGTATGGCATTACAAAAACGATAAAGTACGTCAAGAGGTACTCTGCAATCTTTACCACAATCTCCCAATGTAATATTTTCAACTCCGCCTCCTCTTTCTCATTTTGTGGACCTAATATCCAGGGAATAAAATCAGGCTTCACTCACTTAAAGAGGCAGGCTTGATTGAGTTGGGCTATCAGGTACAATACATCTAACATGACTATGAAAGGACACAGAAAGGTTTCGATGCGTCTGTGCATAATCTCCATTACGAGTCTCGGATGTTTTCACAGTGGCAGCTTCTTTGAGTAAGCTTTTTCATTTCCTGTTCATTATTCCATTCCTTCCTCAGGAGAAAAAGATCTGATTGTTTTCTCTTTTCGTTATAACTTAATGTTTATATTTCCCGGTGGTTTCGCATAATTGCTATCAGTGCGAAGGGTGCGGATGGTGATGTACAGACCAAGTGGTCTAATTGCATATGCTTTGTGAAATACTTGAGGCAATTGATTCACACGTAAATTTACTGCCTGATCACGGAACGAATCAAAGCTGGTAAACACTGCAAACAACGATTTCGCTTTCGCAAAACAAGAAGAAAAAAGGTAGACAAGCTCAAAAGGACAGACATTTTTGTCGACCGCCCTTAGGTAAAAAATCTAAATCGGTAAACTTCGATTTACAGAAGAAGCGTATCTGCTGCGGGGTATTTATGCGGCTGTAAAAAAGTCTGCGAAGGCATATCATTACACATGTTTGAAGAAAGTCGCGTATTTTTGTATTGCTTCGGTATATACGTAGCGATATTCAGTAAATTAAAATACATGTGCAAAATACATGTACAATTTCGGAAACTCAAGATGATTTAAGAATGCAAATATTGAAGCAATATGTTCTTCTTTGCCCTAATATCTGGGGATTAAAATCAGGTTTCGCCCACTTGAAGAAGCAGACTTTATCCAGTTGTGGTAGCGGAAGCCGGCATATCACGATTAACACAACTATGAAAGGGTGCGGAACGGTTTTGATTCTTCTCTCACTAATCTTTATTGTAAGTCTCGCCTGTTTTACAAAGCGCCTGCTTCTTCAAGCAAGTATTATTATTGCTCCAGATCCTCCTCCAGAAAATAAGATCTGTTTATTTATGTTGGCATCATAACTCTCGGGTGAGTTTACATCATCGTAGTTTCGCGTCATTGATACCAGCGAGAGTTGCTGATATTCTGACAAGGTGGCCTATTCACACTTGTTTTATGAAAAGCTTAGGGCAACCGATTTATACTCGAACTGACTGCCAGATCGCAGAACGAGCTCAAATTGATGAACGTTTCAGCAAAAAAGAAAAATAAGTAGACAAGCTGTAAACAGACAGGACAAGATTTTTAATGGGACAATTTAGATTTATGTCAGAAGCGTACAAGGCATCTACAAGGCTATGAAAGTCTACGAGTGCGTAAAAGGATTTATATCTTTAAAAAACGTATATTGCTTGGGCAGTCATATTTAACAAAGTAAAATACATGTACTCAATACCTGTATTCTGATACACAATATACTTTCAAGAGCGAAAACATTGTAACAATATGCTATTTTCCCGCATAATGGCGAACTCACTGCCAGATCACGGAACGAGCTCAAATTGATGAATGCTTCTGAATGAGGCTCTGAAAGTCTATCAAGGCATACCATCACAATTTTTTATTAAGAAAGTCACTTGTTTTGAAATGATAGAAACATGAAAAGTATATTGCCTGAGTAGCGATATCCAGAAATTGGCTAATAAATAATCTTATATATATTTTAATAAAACAATTATTCCACTAGCGCTTGTTGGATATGAAATGATTATCGGCCAACTTGGCGCTACGCGCCTCGTTGGCTATCTATCATCTCATATCCAACGCGCGCTCGTGGACTAATTGTTAAATATTCGGAAACACAAGATAATTTCAAGATTGTAAACATCGAGTCAATATGATATCTCTCGCCCTAACGGTGGCGGCTCATATCAATTAACCCTCGGATCCAAGCTAAAAACAACCTGATATCCCCTACGTTATTCAAGGAGGTCAGGGGGGTCAACAAAAGCCCCTCCGGGATTCCGTTCTGTTTCAATGCTTCGAAAATATCTCATTTAATGTGACATCAATGTAAAGCCAGTTATTTATTCTTCAAGCAGCGATGAAAACTACGGGTTGCGCAATAGGCTTGCCAGAACATTTCACATGAACCAAGAAATTAGATATTTTCGTCTCTGAAATGGATTTTCTTTCCTTTAAAGCCCTAGTTTCTTATTAAGGACTCTATTAAAAACATGTCTATAACCTTAATGAAACGTTATTACTTCTCTCTCATTCCTGATGTTATTTCGTGTTAGATGACTAACTTTAAAATAACAACTTATGACATATACCAAGTAGCTTCAATGTGTTATGAAGTCAAATGTGTTAAGAAGAGAGCATGATAAACCAGTCACACCGTTCAAACGTCGAGAATAACTAACCTCCCCCCCGTCTCTCCCTTACTTGAGCTTATATCCGGGGATTAAAATCAGGCTTCACTTGCTTGAAGAAGCAGACTTCATCCAGTTGTGGTATTGGAGGCATATCAGAATTAACACAGCTATGAAAGGGCAAGGAACGGTTTTGATTCTTCTTTGCATAATCTTCATTGTAAGTCTCGCCTGTTTTCACCAAGCGTCCGCTTCTTCAAGTAAGTATAATTATTGCTCTATATCCTCTTTTCGAGAAAAATATCTGTCTATTTTATGATAGCGTCATAACTTTCGGATGAGTTAACATCACCGAAGTTTCGCGTCATTGATACCAGAGACAATTGCTGATAATCTTACAAGGTAGCCTAGTAACACTTGTTTAATGAAGAAGCTTAAGGCAACTGATTCATACTCGAACTCACTGCCAGATCGTGGAACGAACTCAAAATGATGAATGCTTCTAAACTTACGGCTCGGCAAAAAAGAAAAAGGAATAGACAGGCTGTAAACAGACAGGACATTTTTCCATGCGTTCTTTCCTAAGACTTTTAAAGCGACAATTTAGATTAATGCTAGGAATGTATGCTGCAAGGCATCTACGAGGCTATAAAAGTCTACGAGGGCGTAAAATGAAAGATATCGTTGTGGCACTCACCGTCTTATTTTTGTTTTTGAAACGTATGTTGCTTAGGCAGCGATAATAAACAAAGTAAAATACATGAACGCGATACTGTATTCTGATACACAATATACTTTCAAGAGCGGAAACATTGTAGCAATATGCTATCTTTCTCCCATTATGACGTTTTCGCTGAGAGTCTTTTGAGACTCTTCAAGACACATCTGTGCTTCTATTGGCGCTCGGCAACTCAACTAGTAAGAGTGTTGATATAATGCAGTAAATGGTTTGAACCCGGGGGTAACATGTGAAGGTGTAGTCTGATCGTCCGGGTGAGTGTAGTCCTGAGAAGGACTGTTGTCGGTGGCAGTGACTGACGTTTCGACAACCTGTGCGGAAGTCATCATCAGAGTCAAGTGA